CCTACGCGCCAAAAGTCGTGGTGCCTGCCAGGCCAATTTCCGAAACAGACGCCTAGGCCCAATCGCTTCAGAAAAAAGGCAATGCTTTGCATATGGTGGGACCAGACCGGCGTAGTATATTTCGAGCTCCTGAAACCTGGCAAAATGGTCAATACTAGTCGCTATGAACAACAAATGCACAGTTTGAGAGAGGCGTTGAATGAAAAAAGACTGGAATGGCGTGAAAAGCACAACAACCTGATACTGCAGCATGACAACGCTCCAGCCCACAACGCTACAGTGGTCAAAAACACCATAAAAGACTTGGGCTGGGAACTCTAACCCCACCCGCCGTACTCACCAGACTTAGCGCCATCGAACTACCACCTTTTCACATCTTTAGGACACGCCCTAAAAAAACAGTAATTTTCGAACTCAGACATACTCAGAAAATGACTTGTTGACTGGTTCGACTCAAAAGGAATAGAAATTTTCAGACAAGGAATTCGAAAATTGCCTGAAAAGTGGTCCGAGTGTATAGCTAATCAGGGCAGTTACTTTGAATAAAAAATCTTTTGTCGTATGGAATTGGTGAACTTTTGAATTCACTGAAAATTTTCGCGTTTCATACTAATAGACCTGGTATTTGGCCCAGCCACTTTGCCAGCTAAACATCTCTTTGGCAGATTGTGAGGATTCCATTGGATCCCGTGTGGATTTCTTAGAATAAAGTACACCCTAAGCTGACGAGGGCCATTAGCCCGAAACCATGGTCTTGAGTTGGATGCTTCTCAGTTTACCAAAGCTGGTGTTGTGGCTTTGTTACCGACCTGAGACCTCTAGTTTGCGGCGACGGTCAATAGATGGCGTCTAGTTTTGACGTTTAATTTGACGGGAGAGGAGACGTATGCCTTTTTAGATCAATTTCCTCCCGGAAAAATTTCCATCTATATTTTCTCACATGTTGAACAATCCATAAGTTAAAATGTTTAATAATGAGGCATATATATATATGTCATAATATATACTCTTCCAGGAATAATAAAGCCAAAGACAGCCCAGAGAAAGACGGGAGGGTCACTTAAGACACCAGCGACATTCCAAGGGGCAACCCCTGAGGTCCGTCAGTTAACACCTCGGGACTTTTAGGACAGCGGGGGATTGTGTGCGACATGAACGGCCGCCCAGCTGTGCCGGGCCCATCTCTCTTCCTCTCTCTCTGGTTGTCTAGGTTCCTTCTCCAACTTGTGGTGTGATTATTTCTCTTACCACCTTATTATACCACATATATACACTCTATAACAAAAACAAATCAACACACCAGGAAGGAGTTGTTCAATTTATATGTAAATAGGTATAGAAAGACGTTTCAACAAAACATACAAATGATAAGTGGTTAAACCACTGGGAGGGTACACCACTGATGAGCCTGGCAATCTCATTAATTTATCATTGCAGTAAGAGCAGTAGAAAATTGTTTATTTTTAAAAAAGAATCATACGCTTCAAAAATAGTTACAATTTCTTATAACAGATGGCGCCATAACACATCATATCACATATAATAAAGCGTTTGTTCGTTGAAGCCGAATAGGATTGGTCCATTCTGTGTCACGTGTTCAAGTTACGTAGTTGTCACGTGTTCAAGTTACGTAGTTAAGTGACGTGGCCGGCTGTAGGTCTGTTTGGTTTTTGTTTTCATCCTTTATTTTATTCTATTCTGACCTTATTAGTCATTTTTTGCTTTCGGCAATTTATTCGGTGAATATTTGAGGAATAATATTTTTTAAATAATTTTATTTTTTTAATTTAGCTTGATTATTTTATTTTTATAAACAATGTCTCCTAAAAGAGCCCTTTCTATTGTTGAGGCCATCGAAGCAAAGCAAAGCAACGACACAGCAGCGACAAAGACGTTTAAATTCACCCGTAAGAGAACGGCATAATGAACAACAACGGCAATACCGAATGAATATGAGCGAAAATCAAAGAGCCCTTCAAAGGGAAAACAGTAGGCTGAGGATGCAAAGAATTCGACAGGGGGATAATCTACCTTTGCCAACAGGGACATGTTTCGAGGAAGATCAAATTCCCCTGCACCTTTGTGGCCAACTTGATCAAGTTTGCCCAAAATGTAGAGCAAAGTATTTCGAATTGGAACAAATGACATACAGTAAAACTTTTCATAAATGCTGTTCCAAAGGAAAAGTCGAACTTGAACCGATTCAAACCTCTGAACTACTTGAAAGTTTAATGACTGGAAAGCATCAACTTTCAAAGAACTTCATGGAAAACATCCGTTCCGTCAACATTCTGAGATTCCTTTCATTATCAGAAGGGGACAGTTCCCTGTAAAATTAGCCTTCGCTATGACAATAAATAAATCACAAGGACAAACCCTTGAAATGGTTGGCATCTATTTACCTGAACCAGTTTTTAGCCATGGTCAGTTATATGTTGCTTTTTCTAGGGTGAAAAGCTCTAAGTGTGTTAAAATAAAAATAATCCACGGAAGCAAGCAAGGAAGGCTTCTTGAAAATAGTTCAGCTTGCTTCACCAAAAATGTTGTTTACAAAGAAATTTATTCATTGTAAGTTCACCTCTTTTAAAGTAAAAATGTTAATTAAAAAAATATCAATAAAATGACCCGAAAGGTAAAATGTTGCAACGCTCGGAAGGGGATCGATCCCTGACGGACCATGAACGTTATTTTACCTCGAACGCTTCCGATTACATATTATTAAGTATCAAAAAGGAATGTGAGAAATAAAATTAGGAATCCACCTGCTCTAGCCGATCCCGTCCTTGGACGGGCTTTTCTACTAGTCTACGATAAAGCACAATTTGGATTATTCTATATACAGTTACGAGCGTCATTCCTGATCTCCTAATCAACAATCAGTCATCAGTTTTCATCTCTGTCACCGTTTGCTTTTTTTTTGGAATGGCGCCCTCCTATTGGTTGGCTACGGTCACGCCACCTTTGCCCCCCCCCCCCCCCCCCTCATCATGCCCCCCGCCACTCGCTATTTCGACTTTGTAACTATTGTGTTGGAGCGGGTCGCTCCTTAAATAAATGCATATATTAGTTAATAACCAAATGGAATCCTCTCTTTCTTTTTCCCAGTAAGAGACGCCTACGGAAGCCAACAGTACATAGACAGATAAAGCACATAGGCTATAGTTATTAACTAAAATATGCATTTATTTAAGGCGCCAATTTATAATTGTAACAAATAGTATTTGAATCAAAACATTCAATCGGGTAAAACATGGGCGTTGCCCGGGTCATTCGGCTAGTAGATTATAAACACAAGGTAATAAGACCAAATCCAAATAAGTAATTAGTGTGCGACGTTTTGGTAACAAAATTGTTACCATTATTCATTAATTTTGTCCACCGGTTCTGTCCTCCCAAGAGAACAACAGTCTTTGATTTCCAGACTTAAGTCTGGTCATCTACGGACAATGACTTTCCAGAATGGTTGCAGGGTTTTCCCACTATGTACTAAGTGTCAACCTGCAACCCCAAGACATATTATTGACTGTATTGACTCATCCATTGATGAGCTCTACTCTTCCCCGGCAGACACCATCAGCAAGCTTTACAAGCTTGATACAAGCTTGTCTGATGATGGTAACAACACTGTTACTGAAACGTCACACACTATTTGGATTTGGTCTTATTACCTTGTGTTTATGAATTATATATATTGTTATATATAGATGGTGTGTTATATTGCTTTACAGTCATTTATGCTTAAATTGTCTTTATTGTTTGTGGAAGAGCATTGCTTGATGCAAATACTTATATATAATTCTACTGTCTTGAAAGCTTAAGTCCATAGTTTGCTTAAATACCATTTCTAAGATTCCACCCTTCAATGCAGCATATATAAGCAGAATGATCCAATACAGTATTAGATCTCTAAAGAAAGCGGTCTGGTGGATTATATTAGCGAAACTGCTGGGAGGGTTCACCACTGATGAGTCAAGTCTCCCAATATATTTTTCATCGCACTGAGGACAGTAGAAGTTTGATTTATTTGTGAAAATAAACTTTCGTGTCTTAATGTCTTCATTTGTTATATCCAAATGTATTTACTATCAACTGGGAGGTTGGTGGAAGGAGGGTCTAAACTGTTGGTTTTCAACCGCTACAAACCAGGTTAGATTACCGCATTGGGCACTTTTTTCTGATTTAAAAAAATGCTCCAATGGCCCCCGATTCTTGCAAAAGTCCAACCCCACCAGCGAGTGCAAGTAACCAAATGGGACTCTGGCACATTTGTAAGTGCAAAAGTCAAACTGCTTTTCACATGTGGAGACATGTGGTGTACTTACAGTAAAAGCAGTCGTCTACTTCTACCCACCATGATTATCATGGCCTGTACCATGTGTACTCTAGGGATTATATATATATATTTTTGCTTATCATGGTGGATTGTTAGCGACTGCTTTTATTGTAAGTGCACCACATGTCTACACATGTGAAAAGCAGTTCGACTTTGCAATTACAAATGTACCAGAGCCCCGTTTGGTTACTTGCACTCGCTGGTGGGGTTGGACTTTTGCAAGAATCGGGAGCCATTGGAGCATTTTTTTTAAATCAGAAAAAAAGTGCCCAATGCGGGAATCGAACCCAGGTTGTAGCGGTCGAACACCAATGGTTTAGACCATATTTCCACCAACCCCCTTAGGGATAATATAAAATATATATATATATATATTATTATATGAAAAAATAGTACAAAGGTGAAATTGTACTGGGGTCATGCTTTTTTTTTTTTTGCTTATCCCTAGTACATGTGGTACAGGCCATGATAATCATGGTGGGTAGTTAGCGACTGCTTTTTACTGTAAGCGCACCACATGTCTACACATGTGAAAGCAAATCGACTTTGCACTTACAAATGTGCCAGAGCCCCGTTTGGTTACTTGCACTCGCTGGTGGGGTTGGACTTTTGCAAGATTCGGGGGGCCATTGGAGCATTTTTTTTTTTTTTTTTAACCAGAAAAAAGTGTCCAATGCGGGGATCGAACCCGGGTCGTAGTGGTCGTAAACCAAACGGTTTAACCAGCCTTCCACCTTACTGACGAAACGAAAGCCATCACCAATATTTAGTAACATGAACAGGAGATCCCTTTTTCTCAATATAAGAAGTTGGATTTTAATGCCTAAATCCCACCATGATTATCATGGCTTATACAACGTGTACTAGGAATAATAATAATAAAACAAGTTCTTCAACTTAAAGCTACTTCGGCCAGTAAATCTTTTTTAATACAAAGCAATAACGCGCCATCTACGAGGGTGAGTAGAAAAGTAAGGTCTCCAATTTTTTTTTTTCCATAGAACAACACATTTAATCACAACTTTTTATACATCATTGGAAAGGTCGGACACTTTGCTATTTTTCTACACAGTCGCCTTGATGCTCAATCAATTTTTTCATCCTGTCAACCAACTTTGTAATTCCGGTGTTGTACCACTCTCCCGCCGCCTCTTTGGGCCACTTGTTGAACAGCTTTTTAAATGCGAAAAATAATTCTCCGGTCGAAATTCACCGTCAGTTAGTGGAAGTGTATGGTGAGAAGTGCATGGACATCAAAAATGTGCGGAAATGGTGCCGGGAGTTTAACGAGGGGCGGATAAACGTCCACGATGAACAGCGGTCTGAGCGGCCGAGTTTGCCGGAATCAACCGTGGCTCGAATCGACGAAATGGTGCGCGCAAACCGGCGGATAACCCTTGAAGAGATCGAGGATGGCCTGAATGAAGATTGCAGCCACTTCTCCGTGCACAAGATTGTGTCTGAGACCCTCGGCTACAGAAAGGTGTCCGCCAGGTGGGTCGACAAGTGGCTCAAAGAGGCGGCGGGAGAGTGGTACAACACCGGAATTACAAAGTTGGTTGACAGGATGAAAAAAGTGATTGAGCATCAAGGCGACTAGGTAGAAAAATAGCAAAGTGTCCAACCTTTCCAATGATGTATAAAAAGTTGTGATTAAATGTGTTTTTCTATGAAAAAAAAAATAGGAGACCTTACTTTTCTACTCACCCTCGTATATATATAAAATGAAAGGATTTAAAAGCACGAATGTTTCTTCTATACATAATACAAACTTCTACTGTCTTTACTGCGATGAAAAAATATATTGGGAGGGCTTGGCTCATCAGTGGTGAACCCTCCCAGCAATTTCGCCAATTTAATCCACCAGACCTCTCATCCGGGAGGCATTTACCATCATCGGGCGGCCCCCTGACTTGCAGGGCTGGGTCTTCGGGCATGGCCTAGACGATGACGCCCAGGCCATCCTGGCGTCTGCCAAGACGCGCATCTATAGGCACTTCCTCGGCGCGGAACTGAGGAGTGTATAAGAAGACCTTGTCTGGAGGAGGACTCTCTCAAGGTGGGGAAACCTTCCTTGCTGAAGATATTTGTATATATATTCCCCTACACTTTATATGCCCATTTACTCTTTTATATTTTCTCCTTTGTAAAATTTGATTGAAAGAATCAATAAAATTGTTTAATTTGTCTACCAGACCGCTTCTCAGAGCTCTAATACTGTATTGGGCAATTCTGTTTATATATGCAGCACTGAAGGATGGAATCTCAGAAATGGTTTTCAAGAAAACTATGGACATAAGCTTATAGGACAGTAGAATTACATTCAAATATTTTATTGTCTCGAAAAAATCTATCTGACAAGGATATAATATTTTTTTGTCAAAACTTCGAGATAATAAAAAGATTTACTGGTTGAAGTATCTTTAATTTGAAGAACTATGAATGTCTAAATCCCACCATCGGTTCAAAATCACATTAATAGGTACCGTTCAACAAGAGCAACCTAGTTTATGATAATTGAAACAGTGAATAATATGTGAAGTTTATTCACATATATTAAACAAAATTTTAACGCAGGATTCAATCCCGGTTCATGACTGTCAGGAATCGAGGGTGTTACCCACTCGTCCTTCAAATCCCACCATGATTATCATGGCCTGTACCACGTGTATTAGGGATAAGCAAAAAAAAATTTACTATTAACCAAATAATTACTTACCTGAAAGCTTCCATGTCAGGATTAGCAATCATGACAGCTTCTAAATGAAATCTTCCATCACCAAGATATATAATGGTATCAATACCCGGTAATCGTGGAGCTGTACATCCTAAAATCTCTCCTGGTGATAATGGCCGACTTTGTGGAATTGTAATTTGATATCCTTCCTTTCTTAAATCTGCTGCTGTACTTTGTAGAGTTGACAAAAATTGAACAGTACTTACAAATGCTAAAGATTTATTTGTAGTAAAATTATGTTTAATTGTTTCAATAAAATGTAATGTATCGATTTTTATATCAACTAAAACATAAAACATTTTGATTTCTTTTGTTACTGTTACTGGAATTAGACAGCTATGTGCATAATGTACCATAAAATCTGCACCTAAAGCTTTTGCTGTAAAATCATCCACGCAACAAGCACCATATGTAACATCTCCCATTATTATAACTTTAACATCTGTAAATTTTCGTAAAATATCTGCAATTACAAGTGAAAATATCAAAAGACCTTCTGGAAATTGTAATGCAACGCATTTCGAGTTATTTTGCTCTATTTTCCATATTGTTCTTGGAATTTCAAAGTTATAATTTGATGGTAGTGTGCTAATCGCTTTGTTAAGTTCTTCATTTTCTAAAATTGAGGAAGGTATTTGATTTCCAACTTTACGAACATTTGGACGGGAGCTATTTTTTGCTGTAAAAACACGTGGGTTTGGTTTAGCTTTTACTATGGTTGTTGTAGCCATATCTAGATTACAAAATATTATATATAAATGCTGTAATAATAGGCTTTTTAAAAAATTAATTTAAAGCATAAACCCCCAATTATGTTTCCAAAACATGTGAAACCGTATTTACAAATAAAAGATTATGATGATATAATAATCAGTGAGAAATTTTATATAATAAAATTTTATGTTCTAAAAAAAGTTGGAAATTATATAAAAATTATTGTACTCTCTCTATAGGAACATTTCATATTTATATAATAATATACTCAATATTCATATGTAATATATATTCACCTATATAAATTATACAAACCGTAATCAAATTGCAAAATATTGCATGGACTTTCCCATTAAGGATCATTACATCGATGTAGTGTGCTGCAGAAAAGAAAGTTGCTGGGAATGATAAGTACTGTTACTAATTCAGCTATCATATATATGACATTCAATTGTATTCAGAAAAGTAAAATCCTCTGCAATATGTAGAATAATAAATAAAACTACTTCTTAGGATGAGTTTCTTGCTTTATTATATTGTAGCAAAATATTTATCATATTTTATGTACAGATTATTTATTTTTATTATTTATTTTATTTATATTTTGCTACTCTGAAAACTTCCCTCATTGCTTAACTTGTATCTTATAAACAACGTCTTTTTTTTCCTTAAATAAATTGCTGTGTCATCCTGAAGTTTGTCTTTCCTGATTTTCTATGTTGCAATATATTCTTCGCAAGCTTTCGGGTTTACAACTATGGAGTATATACTCCTGTAGAAAGGTTTGTAAAACCCGAAAGCTTGAAAAGAAAATATATAATAAAGAAAGAAACGGATCCTTGGAAGACTTTTTATTTATTATTCTATTTAGTTATATTGTAAAATTTCAAAAAGTAACAGCAAGATGAAGTTTCTCAAATTGGACTTGACACTACCATTCTGTTGGGTTCCCGGTTTTGGATAAATGGAAAGGGAGGATACACGATGTGACTTATTAAAGTTTCCTTACTTAAGTATATATATATATAGCAATTTAGGCCAACAACCCCATGTATATAACCCGCAGCAAGACCTTAATGTTGTATAATAGAAGCACAGCTGTCAATGATGCACTATCGACATATGTCTTTACATCATCACATGTAATGCAATTTGTGCAAACAGGATAAATAAAATTAAAAAAAAGAGGGGGGAAACTCTGTCATTGATTAAGAGTTGAGCTAAAGTAGGGATCGAGCATATAATATTGTCAGAACAAAGGTCTAAAGATGGAAACAGCCACGACACTAGTATACAATTTCATCAGACAACCCATGAAATCGTTATTAAATTGGGCAATCTATAAAAGACTCCTTCTGGAGGTTTAGCAACCCACTGAAGACGCTGGGAGCTATTTCATAGAGGAAAATTATAGCAACAGATATCTATAATTTCTACAGATCAACTGTAAATAGATTCATATTAAGGCATTTTTATAGCCCAAATAACACAAACAATAGTCAAACATACAAATCTGTTTGCATCATGCCGTACCCTCCTAACAGCGTAACAATAGCCCGAGGAATCAGAAAATATGGTATAATGGTAAATATGATGGAATAACGCACTGAAACACATAAAAGTACAAACATTACTAAAACCTGACAGATAGATACCCTCAAAGTAGCCCTAATAAAGTCGTAATTTGCAACTATTGCTGTGTCAATATATCACAGCAAAGATATAGTACACAATTCTATTCCAACAGAGTCGGTAGTTCTATATTTAGTACAATTTGTGAAATTAAGGTGTGGGGGGGTAGTACCATAAAGCAAAAGGAATGAAATATGTATGAGAGGAAACAAGAAAATTTCTCTAGATATTTATTTAAATAAATTAAAATTTGGGAACATGTCTATACTGACGAGATATGCTATTTACATAGTAAAATTTAGATAGAGGTGACCTGAAGTTACTTTATAGCCCTTTAGGGCCCATGCGAAATCTAGGTTGGTTACTACACAAAAAAGGGGGGGGCGCTAAGCCATAATGACAAATGGCTTACCTTTTTTTCGGGAAGGATATTTATAAGGCTTAGTCTTTTAGAAATCTTCCTTCTCCATTTCTTCTTGTCACCTTTACCTAAATTTTTGGTGAGGGGAATATATGTACATATGGAACAACAGCTTCCAGCGCGGATGTCCCTGGATGTCACTGGTGTCTTCTTCACCAGGCATCAGCTTTCGGCATGGAAGTCTGGTGTCATCAATTGTCTAGGTTTCTGGGCAAAAAGGTGGTCTATAAGTCTATGTG